AAAATAAAAAATTAAGCATTGTTTTTAGTAAAAAAGAAAAAATTGGAGTTCATTCTACCTTTTATACCCTTTTTCCTCACGAGAACGTGCACGAGAATTTGACTTGTGCGTATGTGCCTTTAGCGTTAGCAACTTTAGCAGTTAGCCGTGGGTGGTTTAACTTTATTTCCCCAAAAAGTTCCCCCAGCTCTAAGCAGCTGCCTGCAGGTGAGTCCCTGATTGTTTTTCATCTTCCCTTTTTAGTGGAGTAGAGACAGGAGTGGTGATAGCAAAGCAGGCTACTATTAGCATCCTTCAGAGACTGACATCAATAGCTTAATATGTTATGAGAAGTGTTTCTTTTAGATTGCTTTGTGTGTTTAATGGTGTCAACATTAAATATACAAACATTGTTAAACATTTTAAAATGTTTAACAATGTTTTTTTTTTTTTTTTTTTTCAAAGAATGAGTTTCTTATTTTCTTGTTTTTGTCTAGTTCTCCGCCACCAAAGGGTTTGTCTTTGATTTCAAAGAGTGAGTTTCAGAAGTTGTCACCCTATCTGAGGCAGATGACTCTCAGCAGCCTGAACCAAGCCGTCAACAACATCAACAGATACACAGCAGAACACCGTGGTGAGCCTTATGATACAGTCAGCAAAGAAAGCAAGTCCCATTAGAAATGAATGGAGAAATAAACACAGCTAGAGGTGCCAAATAGACTTAATTAGACTGAACTATAATTATATATTTTCTAAATTACATTTTTGTAGCAGCAGCTGAATTTTAGAAAGTAAAAAAATAAATAAATAAATGATACCCGTAAGAATTAAGTTTAATATATCTAGAATTATTTACGCATTTTAAGTGGCCGTTCTGGCATTTATCAGCTTGACTGAACAGGTATTTATGATATCTGAGAAAAAAAAATTCATAGTTAAAATAATACAAATGCTGATCTTAGGAATATGGAAATCTGAAATTAAATTCTATACATCCAGAATGTTTGTTCTAGATGAGGAGGATTACATTTTGTTTGAAATAGTCATTTAGACAAAGGAAAAAATGTTTTTCGGATATCAGGAATACATTTCACTAAAAGTAAAGCATATCAAATTCAGCTTGCCATAGTATGTCTTTACTGCAATAATATTACACGATTATTTCTTAAATGGTTGTAGATCTATGTATCTATTTAGGTGAAATAATCTGGCAGCAGTTGAAGATGCAGAATCAAAACGTTCTAATAGATGGAACCTCGGGTTCTTCAGTTTGATTCAGTCTTCTTTTACTAAGTAAATACTACGTATCTGTCTGCAGCCGCGCTTTGGATGTTATCCCAGTAAATGGCCGTTATAAGCAGCTATCAGTCCCATAGAAGGCCTTCAGATTGTGCCAGTAGGCTCATCAGGCTGTTATCGAGTGAATCCTAATCCTAACCCTAAAGTAATTCCTTTTTCCCCGCGAAATTAATGAAACTATATATGCGTAATCTTAAAACAAATTCAGTAGTTCTTCATGTACTGTAAATATAAGTAAATAAAAATAAAATGATCCGCATCTCGCTCATATTAAGCAAACCAAAAACAATCTTATCCCCTGTCAACTGAGTAGTAGTATCATCTCCCTATAAAAAAAAATTGCCGATCATTCTTTAATAAGATCCTCGTCTATGAAGTTGACCCTCTAAGACAGCGGTCCCCAACCTTTTTTGCACCACGGACCGCTATATGTCAGACAATATTTTCACGGACCGGCCGAGTATACAATCAAGTAAAATGATACGACTGGCATAAAATCGAATACAAACAGCAAAAAATAAAACAAGCCGGTCCCATCTAGGCGTAATCGGAGACAATGACACAGGAAGTGTGTTTTGATGTCCAGTCTGCTCCGTAGCTTTGTTTTACAAAGATAGGATATTATAGATAGGATGAGTCTTGAACTGAATTAACCTGTGTCAAGAGGCACAGATGCACTGACGTAACTGGGAGAGAATACCGCAATTTTTTATATTTTTCAAAATAAAACATCACTCAGACTCTGATCGTCAATAAATTGTATGTATATATATATATTTATTTATTTTATTTTTTTCTGTGCGGCCCGGTACCAAATGACCGACGGACCGGTACCGGTCTGTGGCCCGGTGGTTGGGGACCACTGCTCTAAGACACAGACAGCCCCTCCTCATTTGCATAATGAAGCAGAAATGCAGACACAAATGTAAAAACCACAGGCAGAAATAAGTAGCATTGAAGAAATAAATGGGGTAAAAAAAATACAAAAGAAGAATAAAACAGATAAAAATATTATAACATGCACACAAATAAGCACTGAAAAAAATAAGTAATTAATAAAGTTGAAGTTTATAACACACAATAAATAAATAAGGTAATTATTACAAAGGCGAATAAATAATGAAGCCAATTAAAAGAGATATATACATTTTTTTTTTACTGTATAATTTAATTTCTACCTACGTTTATTTGTTTATTGTATTTTTGGGGGCAATTAATTATATGCTTATTTATTTATTAAGCATTTATTTATTTATGTGTTTAATTTTAAATATGGTAGAGCTGGTCCTCCATACTCGTCAAAAGGACATGCAATGTTTTTTTAAAGCTAATGTTTCTAACGGACCTTTTAAATGTATTTTTTTTAATGCACTAAAACTACGACAAAAATCAGAGTAAATAAAATAAACGTGATTAGCTGTAAGGAGAGCAGAGACAGAAAAAACCTGCTCCTGACCAGGTTAGATCTGGGGAGGATGTTACTATGGTGACTGAAACAGGTTAAAAAAAACTCTCTTTGAGAACAGGAAAAGTCAGTTTCTTTTTTCAGGTTTAGAAAACTTTTAGTTTTCAGTGATCCTGCTTCGTGAAATGGACCCCAACTTGTTAGTTTAGTTTGAAAGAGTTGTTGTAGGTAAGCCGCCCTTTCATCACTTCTTTGTCTTTGACGCCCCCTACAGGAATAAAAGAGGAATTTACATTGGAGGATTTGATTTCAATCATCAGTGTGGAAACCAAGGCCACCATATACATCCTGTGTCTACAAGAACTCAGGAGGCTACAGCGAGTGGACGCAGCTCTGGAGGCTAAAGTATACAAACTAATAACAGAAAAGTAAACGACGTCTAACCGGTCAGCTGAAGATGAAAACTGACCACTGCTAAATGGAAATACTGACTTTAATGCTGAGAGTATGAAATCATTTGGAGGAGTCCCACACTGTCAGAGATGACATCTGTTGTAGCTTTCTGTTCTGTTTGAGAGAAATGTATATCACCTTTATTTTTTAATGGTTAATAAAGTCCTAAATAATAAAATCATAACATCGTCCTACATATAAATGAGTCATTCATGTGTTTTTGATGTGCAATTATTTATTTATTTATATAAATATACCTACATCCATGAGCATCTACAACGATTAGTTTAATTTAATTCCCTTTAAAATCGATAATTTTGAAAAAAAAAAAAATTTAAACTGAAAGATAATATTGTGTTCAGTTCACATAAATATGATACCTCTAAATAAGCTGAGTGCAACAAGTTTGCTTTAATAATTCCATAACCAGCAAATCTTCGTTCTTATAGAACAAAATATGACTGAGAAGTTGGATTAATATTACCAGATTGGAATATTCTATATATGCGGTCGTTGAAGGAAAATAAAGGACAATATTGATGACAAAGTGACTTGGAAAATATTTTATATACAGTGAGTGCCATTCTTTCCTCTGGAAATGTACCTTTTTTATTAGCTTTGTTAAAAGTAAAGCTCTATTTATATAACTTTCTCCAGATACGCAGAAAAGAAAATCAAATTTTACAGTGGCCAAGTCCAGACGTACACTTAGTAAAGAGGTTAAGGCCTGGGTTTTGAACTGAAATTGATGTTGGCTGTTAGTTTCAACCCACTTTGACTAAATCTATACTTTTAAAAAGAGGATTTTTCATAAATGTCCATCTCTTGATTTCAAAGACTGATTATACTACAGTCTACTACATCTTGGCGGATTACATAGCTAATTCAGTGCTGTCTTTAACCCTTTATAGGGCAAGTAAGCGTTTATGATCACTTGCATACCCCTTACAAATGGAGTCTTCCCGTCTCTCAGTGAGGTCTAGAAGCACAAGATACTGCTACGTGGCTGTACATCTTATTTTGGCATTTGACCAATTAGATGAGCCCTTGAATGATATATTACCTACTGTAAATGAAGTTGGGGGGGGAAAAAAGTTAACTAGTCAAGAAAAAAAGGTAAAAAGCTAATTAAAAAGTTAATAAGCCTAGTTAACAATTGTTAAGTTTTCTAAACTAAAAATTTTAGTGCCAGTATCAGCATTAATGCCTCTAAGGTTATGTTGTACCAAAAAATGTGTTTCTTTAACTCTCAGTGAATTTCTTATAGAAGCACTTTTGTTATTTTTCTTAATATAATCGGGAAAGTTGGCCTTTCTTGTTATTACATTGACAATAATTTTTGCCATCACAATATCCATATATTTTGAATGTTACAAAGTCAATAAGGTCTTGTCAGGGATTCCAATAACACTATTGGCTTGAAATTTAGATTTTCAAACTATTTCACTGAGTGCCCTATAAAGGGTTAAGGCTTTTCCATTGGTTCAGCACTTCAAGAAAGATAAATATTAAGAGATTAGGGTAAAAAAAGACATTACATATGAATTTTAATTTAGAAAATGCTCAGCTGTGAATGTGGAATCATTAGTTTATTAAAAAAGACATTTCTTTTGGCGGTGTCTAGAAAAAAGAAGGATTATACAGTAAATATATATATATATATATATATATATATATATATATATATATATATATATATATATGAGCATTTCCATAATGACAGTTTGTGTGCACGAGATCAAGTTGCTGTAACGTTGCCTCCAGGTTATCCAATCAGATCGAGGCTTGCGTACGTCGATAACGGAACTGTAGTTTTCTGGGCTTTTTTATTTATTTCTTTTATTTTACTACGCATCCTCCGGTCGGTCACCATTTTGGGAGTCTAAACAACCAACAGGCAGCGGCAGGCGCCTCCACGCTCCTCCGTGGCCTTACTATGGTTCACACATGTGGGGCGGCAGGCTGTAAGAACCGTCGGACCCCAGGAACCAATCTCTCTTTCTACTGTTTCCCACGGAACGCAGACAACAAGCACCGCTGGATAGCAGCTGTGAACCGAGCGGGCTGGTTACCGAAGCACCGCAGCTGGTGGTGGACGTAGTTCCCACTTCATTTCAGGTATGAATACAGAGCAAAGGCTGAGGAGGGAACAGGAGTTTTAATGTTTAATGTGCTTTATAATAAAATGACAGCCGCTAGCAGCAGCAGTGTCAGAGTCAGCAGGTAGGAAAACGGTTTATAACACCTGTTTACTGACATTAAGCTGCGAAAAGTTTGACTTCAGCTCTTTTAAACACCCAACTAGTTGACGGGCTCCATAAGTTTTCTGAATATTTCACCAGATTTAATTTTAGGCTAAGATTTTAGACTATTTTTAAATTCTTGTCGGGTTAGTTTCTGAATGCTCAGTATTAAACTAGAGTTAAAATGTATATCTAATAAATAAAAAAAATAGACGGATTTCATCAACAAAAAATATTTTGTTTAATTAAAATCAAATAAAATGTGCATTTTTTTAATTATAAGGGCCTTTATTTGTCTTAAAACGCAATTTTATGACTAAAAAACATCTATAGTATCTTACAACATTATTTACACGTAAGGTTTCCAAGCACTATGAACAAAATTAAATTTTATCTGCTCAATTTAAGTCAGAAAACTGATAATTTTTTTTCTTGTCATTTTTTGTTAAAATCTGACAATTTTAATTCTTTTGAGCAGATGATGCCAATGGAATGAGATGAATTACATTCAGAACAGGAAATAAAGACTATTATCTTAAGTGCATAATATCTCATTAACTTAGTCCAAGGGTATATATTTAGTAACTCCTTTGGCAAATCCTCTTATTTACCTGCTCCAATTAAGGGCAAATACAAGCATTTTAAGATATATTTACTTATTTTAGATCAGCTTTTGCAGTGAAACTGCTGGTTATGATTTGGACTTATTCATCTTTTTAAGGGGACTGATGGCCTAGTGGTTAAAGCAGTGCACTTGTGCTCTGTGAGGGTTGCAAGTACCCGGTTCAATCCCCACAGCCTGGACTCTGAGCAAAACCCTTAACCCCACACTGCTCCCTGAGCGCCACACAATGGCAGCCCACTGCTCCCCAAGGGGATGTGTTAAATGCAGATGGTGAATTTCCCCATGGTGTGATAATAAAGGGATTTACATTTTTATTTATCTATTTATCTTTTTCTGAGCATTGCTGCATGTTATCAGGAAGAACAAAACAGTCATAATCTAATGATAAATAAATGAAATACATTATCTTTACTGATGCTTCATTCTTGATTGTTGACACATTTGACTAAAACAGATCTTTGTTTTAATTATCGCAATAGTTTGTGAAAATATCTCCCATTATCAATTCAATTCAGTTTATTTCTATAGCACCAATTCACAACACGTCATCTCAAGGCACTTTACAGTTCACCAGATCATACAGACTGATTGATTTAAAGTTTTCTATCTAAGGAAAAGCTGTTGATTAAATTTACTCATCGACTCAAAGGCAATCCCTCACACTAAGCATGCTTGTAGCGACAGTGGAGAGGAAAACTTCCTTTTAACAGGAAGAAACCTTCAGCAGAACCAGGTTCAGTTTGAGCGGCCATCTGCCGAGGCCGTCTGGGGTTAAAGGAGACAGAAGCAGGGATATAAAAAGCAGCTGTGTCCAGGAAACACACAGCCAGGCAGACGAGCTCCGAGCCAGCTCTCATGTCAGAGGATGTAGAAAGCACATCCAGCCAGTCACAGTCTCGAACATCTATAAAAAAAGGTGTTGATGACAGCAGCACAACTGAT